GGGGGGGAGAAACATCGAAGTGAGAGGGACATATCCATTGGTTGCCTACCACTCCCGCAGGTGAGGAACCTGCAACTGAGGTACATGCCCTTGACCAGGAGTCGAACTTGAGACCCTTTGGTCCAAGGGCGGCAGCTCTGACACAGGGCCACACCGGGCAGGCCCAGATATTTCCTGAACGACTCGAGTTGTTATAATTCCTCAGGATAAACTTAATGTTCCAAAGCAGCCACACCACAATGCCAACAGACGCGGTGGTGTAAGGGGTCATGCCGCCTTCCTGGTGTTTGTAGTTGGAGCTTCATGGCTTCCATTTGTGGTAGTTGTGACGCAGGCTTTCTTTGCACCACCCAGCATCCTAACTTGCTGTGTGTGCTGCTTTGTCCAATCTTGGCCATAATCTCGACTATAAAGGGTATTCTGGTATTTCTTTTCACTGCCTATCTTTCTCTCACCCAGCACCGCAGCCCAGAGTAGAGAAAAAGGCTTTTCGATTGGGTCATATTTGCTCCTGAACTAGCAGGGTGACCGAGGGGGGTGAGGGGAAACCTTCCTCTCACCATTCATAAGTGTGATTCAGGTTGCTTTTTACACCTAACTCAAAAGACAAACTGCTGAAAAAGAAAGCTTTTGTTGTTTTTCCAGAGGGAGGGGACACCAAAACTCATTGAGATCCGTTTATGTAGTTCAAATTTATCCCATTTTTTGCTAGTGATCATACATGTCACTACATAAAATGCATTTGATTGTGGGGTGCTTCCCCAGATGTTATTGAGGGTGTTAGATGGTGTATTGTACATGTACCTTCTTCAAATCCAAAGAATCAATGCCAGAACATTCTATGGGCTCTGGACAAGGGAGTACGAATCTTCCAGGTCCTACATTGCAGGGTCGTTTTGTGGACTGGGATGACATATGTAAATAGAAGAGTAACATGCCAAAAAATGGTTGTTATAGGTAGTCCACCAATATAAGTGCCAACCAGCAAGGTATGTTTCTATTGCCAAGACTCCAGTTTTACCCATCTCTTTTTCATCCTTTGTTTTGGAAAAGTTGGTTTCCTCTGTGTGTTTGGGTTAGAGTATTACTTTGTGGAAAAAGGAAGCCATCAATCAAGGAGGAAAAAAAAAATTAAACAAGTTACAGCATCTACAATGCTAGGTTGAACACAACCTGATGAATAAAACTTTCACTTGACTGCATTTTTGAGGTTTGGGGGATCCAATTGGTCCGCACCCAAATTAAAATTAATCACAGTGCTTCAATTTGGTATGGATCTCACTGAAAACCAGGTGATTCAGTCAATAGCATAAAGCAAGGGTGGGGAACCTTTTTTTCTGCCACGGGCCATTCAGATACTTATAAGGTCATTCTCAGGCCATGCAAAGTTATCATCCAATGGCCCTAGCTGGTTTGCGCAGTGGTTAGAGCGTGGGCCCATGGGCTGAAGTGTTCCAGGTCTCTCTCACATCGATGTCATGTGTGTCGTCCGTCGTCGTCGTCCCCGTCCCCGGCCGAAAAGCAATGGGGAAAAAAATTCTTGGGTGAGGATTAAAATCTATGTATGATAAAAGCTCCTAGATTTATTGAATTTCAAGTGCCGCCTGCGGTTGCCTTGGCAGAGCCAGACCAAATGATTTCTTGGGCCATATAGGGCCCACAGGCCCAACATTCCCCACCCTTGGCATAAAAAAAAGCAATCAAAATTTTTAAAAATTATGTAACTGCGGTGAAGAAAACTTAAGCAACTTTTAAGAGAGAGTTTTATAGTAGCTGTTTACAAATCAAGCTCTATTAAAACAGGGAGGTGGGAACCCTGGTGGGGTGGCTTAATTGGCTAGAGCATTGTCCCAGTACACCAAGGTTGCAGGTTCAATCCTCAGTCAGGGCACATACAAGAAACAGCCAATGAATGCATAAGAATAAGTGGAACAACAAATTGATGTCTCTCTCTCCACTCCTACTTTCACCCCGCCTTTCTCTCTCTAAAATCAATCAATTTTTAAATGGCCCTGGCCAGTATTGCTCAGTTGGTAGGGTGTGGTCCCGTGCACCAAAAGGTTCCCAGTTGGATTCCTGGTCAGGGCACGTGCCCAGGTTGCAGGCTCGATTCCTGGTAGGGGGTGTGCAGGAGGTGGCTGATCCATGTTTCGCTCTAGACGTTCCTCTCCCACTCTCTCTCTAAAAGTCATTTTAAAAGAAGAAATGAACAAAATAACTCAATAGAAGGGTGAATAAATCCAGGAGCTGGTTCTTTGAAACAAATTCCTTAGATGGCCCAGTAAGAAGAAAAACAAATACATATGGAAAAGAAGATATAATCACAGGCATGGGAGACTACGTGTATCAAGACGGCCACACATTTGAAAATCTGAGGGAACCAACTATTGGAAAACCTTACTAAAACAAATACTACTGAACAGCCCAGTAAAGTTCTACCAATGAAAAGGGGCCAAGACTAGACAGAATTAGAGCTGAATTCCATCCAACCCCGAACAGATAATGCCAGTGTCATGTAAGACACTACTTAAGAGAGGGAAGCACTGCCAGTTTATTTTATGGAGACAGCACAACTTTAATAAACCCAGGTGGAAACCTAAGAAAAAGCGAGCTACCTGTAGGTCTTTCTGATTAACGTAAATGCCAAAATTCTTGGTGAAATATTTGCTGGCAGTTAGATTCTAGAAATGTACCTGAAGCATGGCTCTTTGAGCAAATTACAGGAGAAACTCGTGTGTAGATGCTGAAGAGGCACGAAAAAATTCAGAACCAAGTCTAATGGAAACATCAAGTGAGGGCTTTACCATAATCCAGCAGCTGCTTTTCTCTAGTTCATCTGCTGCTCTTGCCCAGCATTCCCACTTTCTTTACTCCTACCTTAATTCCACCACCTAGGCTGAAAGCACTTTGGACAATCTAGGTCCAGCTTCACCTGCTCCTTATCAGTAGTCCTTACTTTGAGGGCTAGGCTTCACCCAGTACTCCCCCTTCCCACCCTTAGTGATGATGTGTCCTAGCAAGAAATACGTAGTTTATGGACTGCATATAAGTATTAATCTGACCCTCCTCCTCCTTTCCCTCTCATTCATCCAGACAGGTGAGAGTAGGGCTTCCAGTGGGCCGCTGAAAAGGAGCACCAGGAGTATAGCTGTTCTGTGACACAATACCATAGAGTTAAGGCTTGCGAATCCTGTCTTAACCTTGGTTAACTAAACAGTACATGAGGGTGCAGGGGCCTCATTTCTTCAGAGGTGGTTGGAAGGGAAACTTAGCCTGTAGTATTCAGGAATGTTAAGGTTTCAGAGTAATAGGGGGCAGGAAATTGAAAGAAGCTTTCTAATAAAGTTTCTAAACTCCAGAGGGAATAAAATTTGACTCCATATCTCTTTGTTGCCAAAAAAGTTAGGCCCCAAACATTTCCCAAAGTTTCAGGGCTTCTAAAACTTTCATTAAAATTCCACATAACTCTAAACTCACATTTCTCAAACGCTCAAGTGCCTTCAGTCCTTTCCGTTTGCTTATAAATATAGTTCACATTGCTCTGTGTGCCCCAGTGTCAAAATGTTCTCAGGAGCACTGGGAGTCTCCCACAGCTGCCACCCCTTTCTCGTTGAAAAGGTTCAAAGAGAGGAGGAGACCCAGCCCAGTTGCAGAGGTCGAGAAGCTTGCCTTCTCCTGGCGTGACTGTGACCATAGGCCTGAAATGTACTCATTATGAAAGAAAGTCTGAATATTCTTGAAAATATGGAATGTTGTATACATTGTACATAGGTCTGTATCGCTGCTTTCATGAACTAATTACTCATCTAATTTGTCTTTATAATGAGATGTTATTTCTGGGGAAGTAGTTGATGTAATTGAGAAGCTGAGTGAAAACAAGCCGTTGATGCCTTACGTGTAAGCAAGTCTTTTTCATGTCAGTTCATCCTGAGTTAAATAGGTGTATGCTTTATGGAGACATGTGTATGTTTTTACAGATTGGCTGAACTTCACTGAAGATGTCTAAGGTAAGAACATGCTCCTGTATCTACAGTGTGAGGAGGAACTGCTTTATGTTCTCAAACTGTTTACAGTCAAAATTTATGACTCACTTTTAATACAACTGATCTATTTGATTCTTTAAGGCAAAGTTCTAATTTAATTGTCCTAAAAAGCTTTGAGATTTTCCCTCCAGATTTTCAGTTTCTTGTTTGTAAATACATCAAGAACAATCCATTTAGCGTCTGTTGACAGTCATTCCCAACAGATTAATCAAATAATAATTTAAAATTCTAATAATTTATCATGATGAAATTGATGGGGCTCTTCGACATGATAAATTGGCTTATATTACCTCTTGCAGATTAGCGCAGAGCCTCTAAATAAATTTCTTCTAAAAGACTTGTCGAGGAGAGTAGAACTTCTTGTTGAAATTGCAAGGTTGTTATTTCTTTTTGCCTTTTGTTTTTGAATTTGGGGTATTAGTATCTGATGCATAAGCATCATGCTAGTTTTGCTTTTTATACAAGTATTACTGTGGAATACCAGTAAGAAGATAAAAGTTACCCATAATTCTGTCACCCAGAAATAACCACTGATGTCTTATAAATGTTCTTACTACTCGTGTGCACATGTGAATATACGTTTAGAAAATAAATAAATCGATGTCTTGATTTCCTCCCATTTATAGTGTGCCAGTGCCCAGTTCTATAGCTTTACTGTATCCCATGACCACCTGTCCTTATCAGGTGTCCATCTGTCAGGGAATATTGACACTTAGCATTATCAGCTGTATCTCATTCTCAGTCTTCTTTGTCTTGGTCTTTGAAGGTAAAGATTCAATATCCCACTCCTAAGTTGTGACTTGTTCCGTGGAGCTAGGACTATAACAAGGGGGATGACTATTTCCTGGATACTTTACACAGATGCATCACACCTAATACATTTATCTTTTTATGCGTTGTTTAATTGCTTAATGGAAATGTAATTTTAGGTCAGCAGATAGGTATGGAATAATACTGGGTTGGTTTTTCTTTTTAATAATGTTTTTAAGTGAATACCATTAGTTTTTGATAGAAGTGACTTTTTGAAAGTGTTACTTATGTACTGTGTATATTTACATTTAATTCATGAGAACTAATAACGCCTATGTTTGTCACAGCTTGATTATATCTTATAAGCAACTGATAAGGTATTTTATTTTTTTTGTAAAATCTTATTTTAGCAACAACCAACTCAATTTATAAATCCAGAAACTCCTGGCTATGTTGGATTTGCAAATCTTCCTAATCAAGTTCACCGAAAATCAGTGAAAAAAGGTTTTGAGTTCACGCTGATGGTGGTCGGTAAGAAATTAACTTTTACTTTCAAGCTTATTAAATATGTGGCTAGCTGCCTTCCCAACCTGCGGTTGTAATAATAGCATGACCTATAAAGTCAAAGGGAATTCCTTTATTCCTTTGTTGGCAGAATCAAATAACTTGGGAATTTGGTGGGGAGGGGGAGGAATTCTTTAGAAAATTTTGCTTGAGAGTAAAATTACAATTTTTCTGTCATTTATTTATATGTAGTGATAGCTCGTATTCATCATGGTAGCCAGCCTCCACAGTGTTGCCCAGTGATCCTTTCCTCCTGGTGTTCATGCAGCTTTCTAGTCCCCTCCCACAGTGATAGATAGGGCTTACCTGTGTAGCCAGTAGGTCATTGCAGAAAGGAAGGTGTGTGACTTCGACAAAGATACTGTGCCGTACCTTGCCTTCTGGCTCACTCTAGGGGCAGCCAGCCACCGTGTTAGGAAGACACTCAAGCAGCCTTGTAGCAAAGTCCCACATGGCAAGGAGCTAAGGCCTTCCGTAGCCATGTAGTGACCTGTTTCAGAAACATCCTCCAGCCTCAGCTAAGCCTGTGGTTACAGCCATCTTGGCTAACGTTCACTATTACTGCATGAGAGACCCCCCCCCC